CCCTAAACCCAAAACCCTAAATTGACTGAGTGTTTGCAGCATGCCATGGTGAGCTTCCTGCGCCGTTGGATTCTTGAATGCATCAGGACTACTCTGCCACCACCCTAAACCCTACCTTAAGAACCCCAAGCCCACTTTTTTGTAGGTTCTTATAAACCCTAATATGGGATGTATAGGGATCCTACAAAAAAGTAGGTTTTGGGTTCTTAAGGTAAACCCTAAACCTCAAAACCCACAAACTTTAACCCAAAGGCCGGCCCTAGAGGCCCTAAGCTCCGTGTATCCGGTACAGAGATGTTGCGCAGGCTAGGCCCCTTCACGACGAGAAAACCCAGATCGAGGCCCTGATATAGGGATCTAGCAACTAGCATTGATATGCACTTTTCGCCCCGAATCGTATCTGTATCTTCGTGCAGAGACTTTCAAGCGATGTAGATGTCAAAACAGAAGTATCGGAAGGTGGGATTTTGGGCTGAGAGTTAAGGCTTGCGGTTCAGAGGTTCCTGGCGAAGGGCCCGACGGCCCGCATAGTGCCCGGTTTGACGTTAAGGGCCCTGTAGACCCAGAAAGAGTGTGAGCCGCAGTCGCTTTAACTATGCTCGTTAGCTCAATCTCCGGAGAAATCTCCTTTTGGTTGGAGCTTTCTTGCTAGCCGCATGCAATATGGGTACTTCGATAGTCGATAGTTACTTAGGAACAGGGTGTTGAGATTTCAAGTCCTGGAAAGTGCTCTCGCGAGAGTCTTGAATTAGAGGGTGCAGCTTCGATATACCACGGGTTCTTGAAAACCGCAAAGAGGGGACACATATTTACTCTGTCCGATGGCTGGCAGCAAATTTTCCTCTATGGGACCTCTGTGAAACAAGATCACCACATCAAGGCCCCTAAGGTCTAAACCCTACCAAGGTATCTCACCCGCTCTCACGCCGCTGTCCCCTTCTTTGCCGAGCTGCTGCGACCCCTGTGTATTGAATTCATCCAGGAAGTTGAACTGACCTGGCGGAGTTTAAGTTTAAGAGTGCTCTGGGAGTTTAGGGTTTAGGGTTTAGGGTTTAGGGTGCTCTGGGAGTTTAGGGTTTAGGGTTTAGGAGCTTCTACGGACTATCTAGGGTCTTGTAGGCTCTTGCAAGATTATCATAAGGTTTTGTATTGGGGCCTTTGTAATCAGAACCTGCTGTTTCTTGTTATGGAGCTACACGAGGACTATGTTGTTCGTTAGGTCTCTGGTAACAGGGTTTCCGGTTTACGCGAGGTTCTTGGTTTGCACAGGTGCGCAACCTAGCAGCACATTCTGCACCGCACCACCCTGGATCCTAACACAAAGGCAGCACTTGTATCCTAGACATTTGGGGGTTTCCGAAAATAGGGGACGCTAATATAGTACCCTAAATAGTAGGATCCTTATTATAAGGACCCCCAAAATAAGGTACCCCTTATTTAGGACATACCCATTTGGCTGCGAGACGGGCTGGGGCCGCCTATCTCGAAGTTCATCCTCGACCCTGTGCTGAAGTAAGACCGAGCCGCCGTCGCCATAAAGTAGGTCGTCCACCTCCTGGGACAGCTCGCCCATGGCCAAAATCGGAACGCCCAGCCGAACCGCTGGTCTCGCAGTCCTAGTCCACCCACCGAAAATCTCCGGATCTTCCCCGCGTAGACAGCTACTCTTGAGACTACGAGCACTCTAGGCTTCCACCGCTTCGAATCCGAAATTCTCAACATGTAAACTTCTTCTCTACATAGCTTTCGCCCGATGATAGCGATGCGAAAATGGATTCCTCCGGTCTCATGGCCCGGATCTGCTCAAAGCTGGCGCCCTGTCCTATGAGCCAATCCGAACATGTCCATTCGCGGTTACGGCTTAGGGCTAGGGTTTAGGGTTTATAGGGCAGCAATTTATAATATCGCAGGCACTCAGTATAAACCTGCAATCAAGGAGGTTTTCGGAGGTTATGGTAGTCTAAAGCAAACAGCCCTTCAAAGCCGACCACAGCTTAAAACCTCTTAAAACCTCATCCTTCGTGTGTACCCATAGGCCCCATAGTAGTTCCTTTTTTGGGGTTACCTTATAGGATTCTATATATGAACCCCAAAACGGGACTACTTTAGGGCCTATGGGTAGAGTATACTCCCCAGAACTAAATCTCCAGCAAGCCATGCCCTCCAAATGTGCAGCCATAGGCACGAAGCCAATGCAAGGACAGGTCCAACGTTCACAATATGATGGAATACTTTTTGTAGCTGATTATAGCATAATATATTTAAGATTCGTTTGTTGCTTGTTATACCTTCCGTAGCCCTGTTTTGTTATAGCATAATATCATCGGTTGAGGGTTCAGGGTGTAGGGTGTAGGAGAATCGAAGATGTTACATACAAGATCAGTCCTACTGTAGGGGCCTAAGCAATTACCAATAGTATTTTGGAGGTTCCTTACAATGAGTATAGTATAATGGACCCCAAAACCCTATTGAAATTTTTAAGGCCCCTATATTAAGCCCCCCTAGCCCCAGAATTGACCCCAAGCCCATTTTGCCCCTGAAGCCCCGCAACCCCAAGCACTAGTTATAGACCTCCTACTTGCAAAGTCATTGTCGCGGAACTTCAGGATTTCCAGAGCGTTTGGAGCTCGGATTTCTCCAGCTTTGTCGGCCCCAAAGGGGATTTTGGGCGGCTTCGGGTTTTGGGGCGTGGGGTTTGTGGTTTAGGATGAAGGGCCCTAAACCCTAAACCTCAAACCCTAAACCGTCAATGAAGGGCTTCGGCTTTGGGGCTCAGGGGTTGGGGCTCAAGAACCATCGGCCTGGAGTCCAAACACTACTTGGGAATTTCGGAAATTAGGGGTACCTTATTGTGGGGTCCCAATAATAAGGATCCTACTGTTTAGGGTACTATACTAGGGTCCCCTATTTTATGAAGCTCCCATTTAGGCTTTGGTTCCATTCTTATGGATTACTACATGAGCCTTAATGATGAGAACAGAGCTGGGCGGGGCCGGGGTATATTGTAATATAGTTATGCTTCGGGCTATGAGGGAGTCATAATTCAAACTACTGAAGGCCCCTGTATTCTACTACCGCTGAGAAGAAGAGGCTTTCGTTGGATCCTGAATAGATCCTGAGGATCAGGGCGCTCTATGTGCAGGAGTCTTAGTCTCCGAGTAAGTATGGTCTATCACTGAAATCCTATGCTAAGCTCTATACTTCTACTAGACCTAAGCTCTAAACCCTGAAACTTGAACCCTAAACCCATACTGGTACTAGTTTCGGGTCTCAACAACTTGAGCTGTAAAGTCTGGGGTCTGTCTCTCGGTAGTAGACCTATCAACGTGTGGATTGCCGGAACTTCCCCCAACCTGAAGCAGTTTAGGTGTTTGGTGTTTACCTATAGTCTCCATTGTAGTTCTTCTTTTTGGTTTAACCAAATATATATATATATATATACTTTTATAAACCACCCCCAAAAAAAACTACAATGGAGACTATAGATAGGGTTTAGGGCAGCTTGATGTGCTTGAAAGCTTCAACAATCGGAACAGTGTTTGACCGTTTAACCGTTAAGCTCGGGCCTTCAGCTCCAACCGTAGATCATGAAACTTGAATGCCAAGCCATACACCTTCGAAACAAAACCCTGAAATTTGATCGCAGCCCTACTGCAAGTTGAACCCAAACCCCTAAACCGTAAGAAAACGCCTCAAAGCCTGTCTCCTGAAACATCCCAAACCCGAATCCTTGAACCTTTAAGCTTCGAACACTAGAACAAAAACCAGAACCAGCTTGAAGTTGAAATTTCACAGCATAAATTCTACAGTTTCGGTTCCCGCATATCCAGCACGTGAAGATTGTTCCGCTCGCGGTGCAAACGTCGCAGCAAAGGCTGGGTGTCCGTTCACACATGCCCGCCAATTCAGCAAGCCGGAAGCATGTAGCCTACACCACAAACCCTAAACCCTAAGCCCTTAAACCCCTAAATTATGAGCCCCAACATGCTACACAACAGGCTCTTCAAGTTTAAGCCGAAGTTATTAATGTCAGCTAGCAACAAAGCTGCGCAAAGCCGAAGTTCACTCCTGAATGGCGATCAAGGTTGAAACCTCAACAGCGAGATTGGGCGATTTTGTGCCTTTATGGGAGGCATAGGAGCTATGGTTAATCCGTAGGGTTTAAATGTACTCATCTCGGGCTTAGAGGATAGGATTTCAGTAGAGTTTAGACCTTGAGTGTTAAAAGTAAACGGCGTCAGACATCTCCGAGCTCTGGTAGAAGTTCAGATTTTCAGGGGGATTTCAAGTGTTCCGAGACGGTCGGGAACACGGCAAGTGCAGACTTCAAGTGCCGAGCTCACTGGTGTGAGTTTCCTTCGCAAAGCTGGAAGTTTCCAAACAAGAGTCAATGTCACTGGCTCAGCTCAGACCCTGTCGAAACTTAGTGGGCCTTCTGCTCTGCGTGCCAGAACTGATCCCACTGTCCGGCCGTTCTTGGGGAAGTATCACTTGGGCTGAGCTGACCCCGACCACCTTGTGTGCTGCACCATCACACTTCAGCCTGCGTTTGTATAATGCTGTTTCGAAGCATCTTCGGAGATGGCTTCTGAAAAATGAGCTCGAGCGGCCAGTACAACGATAGCCCAACCTACGACTACAGGACCCAGCAAGGACTCAGTACCGATGCAATGGTGGTCTCCTATCTGGACCCAATCCTAAACCCTAGACCTCAAGCAGTATAATGTGGCGGCCCGAATAGTAGAGG